ATGGGTGGTTGTCACATGACTCTCCCATCAAGGAAGACTTACCTTTTTTTTACTCTGAGTTCATAGGAAAAAGGGCAGGTTTATATTAGAGTAATTAAAACTGAGACTTGCAAATTTTCACCACTTCTGGAAAGTGATTCAAGGTAACAGAGAATGAAGATGCACTAAGAATTGTTGAAAGAGACATGTTAGAGATAGAACATGAAAGGACAGCACATCTGAGTTCAGCAAAAAATGTCTGCCTTTTTTCCCCTTAACCATGATGCCCTTTTGAAGAACCCCAAAAGAACTGAATGCTGACCAAGACAAAAGGCCAAAGTTGTAGGTCAGAAAAACCACAGGGAAAGAAGAAATACGTTGAGCCTGTGTGTATTCTTTGTTCATTGTTCTTTACAAGTCAGCAGCTTAGTTCTTCAGAGTTGATTCAGCCATACAATTTGACATCATAACAACGGCAATAGGAATACTAAATTAGTTCTTCAGAGTTGATTCAGCCATACAATTTGACATCATAACAACGGCAATAGGAATACTAAATTAGTTCTTCAGAGTTGATTCAGCCATACAATTTGACATCATAACAACGGCAATAGGAATACTAAACTCAGTATTAAGAACAAGCAACCAAGTACACTCTCTCTTTGGACTGAGAAATACTAAGCAATCTCTTTGTTTTCTCCAGAGAATTCAGTTTGCTCTACATTTAGCAAAGCAGTTCAGTTGTCAACTCAGACGGGGGTTCACAGTGAAGATTGTACCCTCCTGAGATATGAAATTTTCTTGAGACCTTTTCAGTGAACTCTTACAGAAAGAGCAGATAAAATAATGACACCTCCAAAATGAGTCAATATTGAATGACCCTTGTTTTATTTCCTACCACATCCCCACTGGGGGCATAAGCAATGGGATTTAGTGTGGCAACACTGCCCCCTGCTGTAAAACCTGAGGAAGGCAGGGCTCTGCCTAATTGTCCAAGGAGATTCTTTTGGAGGAGATATTTCCTCAATAAGTGTCTGGCTGTTTGGATATTCAGAAGGATGATTCCAAAGTTCAATTTCCTGCCTTCTGCCACGATCCTAAATGACTACATCCAACTTCAGTGTTGTTGTTGTTGTTTTCCTAAAGCTAGATCCTCTTGTGAATAGTGACGGTGAAACGGGAATCTTCAGGCCATTTTAATAATTTTTGTTTTCTTCCACCAAACTCTCTAACTGGACACCTAGAAAAAAAGACTCCCCAAGTTCTCACTGGATGGCTGATTTCTTCTTTCCAAGTACAAATACTAAAGAAATCCCTCTGTTATGGACTGGACAGGAAACAAAATGGAACAAAATTATTGCATTGGCCTTTGTTCTCTCATTCTACCCCCTGTGCTCTAGATGAGTTGGCTGGAAATGGACACAGAAATGCAAAGGTTAATTTTAGAATAAATTAGTTCTTGATGAAAAAAATTAGATCCTAAGGTTAGATATGCATTACAATCCAAAGAATATCTTTTCAGAACTTTTAAGGAAAAAAAATGGTGGATGGAATTCCAAATGAAGGGAGGGAAATTTTCCATCAGCATCTTGGCACCCCTCCATGGAGCTCACTGCCACGTGTCCCTGTACCACACACATAACTTGGAACCAATGAAGAAGTGATTAATTACTATGAATCACCAAAGGTGCATTCATTTCAGGTTAAACAAAAATGTGCACCGCAGCTTTCCACCAATTCAGAAAACTGTTTCTAGAATCAATTCTTCAGCCCAATATGGACAAAAATTATTTGAAGAGCCACTGGGGTATAACACAATATGGTTCAAAAATTGTAATAAGGCACTGTTTCTTGATCCATGGTTTCTTAAAGAAACTAGAATTGATTAGATACCAACATGACACTAGGAGAAGAAACAATGATGTGCAAACCACAGTTTCTGGATCCCCAAAGCAACCAAAGTCAAACTCAAGGAAACCACGTTACCATTTACTTGTCCTGCTGTGGGGCTGAGAAAGGAGAAGGAATAATGTGGTATCTTAAAGCCAATTCACTTTACCCTGAAATAGGAAAGAAAGACTGGTTATAACTTGGTCTTGTTTTGTAGAGGGGGCTGTGATTTCAG